TCTTTCGTCAGGCTAATTTACTCAGGGCTGGTGTTCTTGCTCGCCGCCGAAAGCCGCCGTCCTAACAGAACCAGCGCTCCCGCTCGAGACTTCCTCCCGTTTTGCCTTGGACTGGCGCGCTAGTCTTTCTCGCATCGGCGCCGCCCCCAGCAAAAATAACGCTCCCGCTCGAGGTGTCCTCCCTTTTTTACTGAAGGCGGTGCACCCCTCGCCGCCGAAAACCGCCGCCCCGACAAAACCAGCGCTCCCGCCCGAGACTTCCTTCCGTTTTACGCTGAACTGGCGTCCAAGTCTTTTTTGAATTGGCGCCGCTCCCAGCAAGAACAACGATCCCGCTCGAGGCTTCCTCCCTTTTTCCCTGAAGAAGGTGCTGTTCCTCTCCGCCGACAGCCCCCGTCCCGACAAAACCACGGCTCCCGCTCGATGCTTCCTCCTATCTTACTCAAGGCGGTGTTCCTCCTCGCCGCCGAAAGCCGCCGCCCCGACAAAACCAACGCTCCCGCCCGAGACTTCCTTCCGTTTTACGCTGGGCTGGCGCTTTATTTTCTTTTGAATTGGTGCCGCTCCCAGCAAGAACAAAGCTCCCGCTCGAGATTTCCTCTCTTTTTCCTCGGGACGGTGCTGGTCCTCGCCGCCAACAGCCCCCGTCCCGACAAAACCACGGTTCCCGCTCAATGCTTCCTCTTTTCTTGCTCAAGGCGGTGTTCCTCCTCGCCGCCGAAAGCCGCCATCCCAACAAAGCTAGTGTTCCCGCTCGAGACTTCGTTTTGTTTTACGCTGGACTAGCGCCCTACTCTCTTCAGCACTGGCGCCGCTCCCACCAACAACAGCAGCCCTGCTCGAGACTTCCTCCCTTTCTATTCAGGGCCAGGTCCTTGCCTCACCGCCGACAGCCCCCATCTCCACCAAGACAATCCTGTCGTTCGATACTTCCTTGTGCTTTACCCTTCGCTGGGATTCCACTGGCAGTCTCGCATCGGCGCAGCAAGGCGCGGGCATATGTTTTCGAGGCGGGCTATGTTGAAATTCCCCGGAGGAGGTGTTTGCAAGACCTCATTGGGCGGGAGATTTGGGAATGGGAATAACGGACCCCGCTATAGAGCATGAGTTTCCCATTACGTGGATTGTTATCATGATGGTCGCATTCTTCGTGTGGAAATATCGCGCATGAGGGTAAAATGATTGTTGTTGTTGTTGTTGTTGTTGTTGTTGTTGTTGTTGTTGTTGTTGATTGCTCTCGGTACTGAAGAATAGTTGTTGTTGGTCTCTGGAAACGGTTCTGCGCGCTCTCGCCTCGACGCCGGCTGCAATTCCTCTGAAACGAGGCTCCCGCTCGAGCGCGGGCTTGATTGTAAAAATGTGCCCATGGAGGCCCAGCTACAACGATAGCGGCTCCCGCTCGATACTTCCTCACAATTTACCCCGAAACACCCTGGCCAGCCCCGAACTCAGGAACGGCGCTCTCGCTCGAGACGTCACCGCAATTCAGGCAAGTTGGCGGAGGCCCAGCCACGATGACAAGGGCTCCTGCTCGATACTTCCTTACGATTTACTCCGAGAGCTCCTGGCCAGGAAGGCCCCCGAATTTGGGAACGGCGTTCTCGCTCGAGACCTCCTCGCGATGCATTCAAATTGGTGGAGGCCCAACTACGACGACAAGGGCTCTCGTTCGATACTTCCTCAAGCTGTATTCGCAGAGGCCCTTGCCAGAGAGGCCCCCAAACTCAAGAATGGCGCTCTCGCTCGAGACTTTCTCGCAATTCAGGCAAATCGGTGGAGGCCCAGACACGGCGAGAAGGATTCCCGTTTGATACTTCTCAAAATGTATTCCGAGAGCCCCTGGCCAGAGAGGCCCCCGAACTCAGGAACGGCGCTCTCTCTCTCTCCTCGCTCTTCAGTCAGTGGCCGGCAGTGAAGGTTTTCCCCCCGAGAACGGGTGCGACAGAAGACAAGGTGGGCGGGTATCGAGGGTTGGGGTATACACGGTATACATATTGCAAGACACGCGCGCCAGTAAGAGCGAACAGTCTTAAAATGATAGGTGTTGTTGTTGTTTTTGTAGTAGTAGTTGTTGCTGTTGTTGTTGTTATTGTTGAAAGTTCGTGTCGAAACAATGATTGTTGTTGATCCTCCCTTTCCGGTAACCATCCTGTTGCTTCAACGGAAGAGATTATCCCAGGGTTCGCACCCTGTTTTTTATAAGGGAAAGCGACGTGTCACCAAACTGCGCCCTTGGATCCGGGTTTACAACAACAGCGGCTCCCGCCTGATACTTCCTCACAATGTATTCCCAAATCGCGTTCTCGCGCGGGACTTCCTCACAACTTATGCAGGAATCGTGTTGTCGCGTAAGATTTCTTCACAATTACATCAGAAGCCGCGTCCTCGACACTCAGGAATTACGCCCTCGCTGTGGGTTTCCACACGATTGATTTGGGAATCGCGCTGTTGCTGGAGACTTCTCGCGCTTTATGCAGGACGCACGCTTCAGCAACCCGCCTGCTCGACTTGGCCGCCTGGGCCCGCCTTCCCCAACCGCCTGTTGGGGTCTACCCGCCCGATTTGCTCGTCTGGTTCTGCCACGTGTTTTCTGCTCGTAGCCCCCCTCCTGCTATTTTCTCTCGTGCTCCATCCTCCTCCCTCCCCATTGTCTCTTCCTTCCATTCTTCCTCTCTTCCCCTGCTTTAGGAAATGCGCGAAATAAATTTAGCAGGTAAGAGACATATACACCCAAGGGGGCACGATCGAAGACGAAGTGGGTGGGTCCCGAGGGTGTGGGATATAGGTGTTGAATGGCACGCGAGCAGATAAGAGCGTGCAGTCTGAAAATGATTTTTGTTGTTGTTGTTGTGGTTGTTGTTATTGTTGCTGTTGTTGTTGTTGCTGTTGTTGTTGATGTTGTTGCTGCTGCTGTTGAGTGTTAATGACTAAACAATTATTGTTGTTGGACCCCCCAGGCACCCTGGCGCTCTCGCCTCGGTGCCGGCTACATTTTCATTGAAAATGAAGCTCACGCTCGAGCGGTTTGGGGGGGCACCAAAACCGGCCCCCCAACAACAGCAACATTCCCGCTCGAGACTTCCTCCTTTACTCAGGGCTAGTGCTCCTGCTCGCCGCTGAAGCCGCCGTCCCAACAAAACCATCGCTACCGCTCGAGACTTCCTCCCGTTTTTACCTTGGACTGGCGCGCTACTCCTTCTCTCATCGGCGCCGCCCCCAGCAAGCTCCTTCTCGCCGGCGAAAACCGCCGCCCCGACAAAACCAGCGCTCCCGCCCGAGACGTCCTCCTGTTTAACGCTGGACTGGCGCCCTACTCTCTTTTGAATTGGCGCCGCTCCCAGCAAGAACAACGCTCCCGCTTTAAGCTCCTTCCCTTTTTCCTTAGGACGGTGCTGTTCCTCGCCGCCGACAGCCCCCGTCCCGACAAAACCACGGCTCCCGCTCGAGACCTCTTCCTTTTTTAACTCAGGGCTGACGCTCCTGCTCGCTGCTGAAAGCCGCTTTCCCAACAAAACCAGCGCTACCGCTCGAGACTTCATTGTATTTTACGCAGGACTAGCGTCCTACTCTCTTCAGTACTGGCGCCGCTCCCAGCAACATCAGCGGCCCTGCTCGAGACTTCCTCCCTTTCTATCCAGGGCCAGGTCCTTGCCTCGCCGCCGACAGCCCCCATCCCCACCAAGGCAATCCTGTCGCTCGATACCTCCTTGTGCTTTACCCTTGGCTGGGGCTCCACAGGCGGTCTCGCATCGGCGTAGCCAGGCGCGGGCATGCGTCTTCGAGGTGGGATTTGTTGAAACTCCTCGGAGGAGGTAATTGCAAGACCTCATTGGGCGGGAGATCTGGGAATGGGAATAACGGACCCCGCTATAGAACAACAGTCCCCCATGATGGGGATGGTTATCATGATGGTCGCATGCTTCGTGTGGAAACATCTCGCATGAGGGTATCATGATTGTTGTTGAACTCTTTTTTTCTGAAGAGCGATTATTGTTGATCCCCCCCGCCCGGTGCACATTGTACTTTTTGATTGAAGTGCCCCTCCTGGGGCTCGCACTTTTTGTTTTTTATCAGGAAAGCTTGAAGGTCAAACTGTGTCGTTGGCCCCCGGTTTACAACAACAACGGCTCCCGCCTGATACATCCTCACAATTTATTGAAGAATCGCGCTCTAGTTTGGGACTTCCTTGCAATTTACTACCGAACCGCTTCGCTTGATATTTCCTTACAATTGATGCGGATGCCGGTTCTCGACACTCAGGAATCGCGCTCCCGTTACATATTGCCTGGCGGTTCAAGCAGGACTCACGCTTCAACGACCCGCCCGCTCGACCCGCCCGTCGGGGCCTGCCCGCCCGACCAGCCCGTTAATAACTGCAGTCGCCGCTCGTTGCCCTTAGCCCGCCTTCGATGCCCCTCGCTGCCCGTACTGGTTCCGCGGTCGCCTTGCTGCCATTTGTGGCCCCGCATTCTATATCCTTCGTGGCCCCCGCTCGCACGCGCCCGTCGTGGCCCCATACGCATGCCCTTCGTAGCCCCGCTGTCGCCCTTAGTGGCCCCCTCGCTGCCCTTCGTGGCCCCTTTGCTGCCCTCAGTGGCCCCGCTGTCGCCCTTTGTGACCCCGTATACGAGCTCTTCGTGGCCCCCGCTCGCTCGCGCCCGTCGTGGCCCCATATGCGTGCCCTTCGTGGCCCCGCTGTCGCCCTTTGCGGCCTCCTCGCTGCCCTTCGTGGCCCGGGTGCTGCCCTCAGCGGCCCCGTCGCTGCCCTCTGTGGCCTCGGATTTTATGCCCTTCGTGGCCCGCGCTGGCTTTTATCATGACTTACTTGGGAATCGCGCTGCCGCTCGAGACTTCCTCGCGATTCATGCAGGACCCACGCTTCAGCAACCCGCCTACTCGACCTCGTCGCCTGGGCCCGCCTTCCCGACCTGCCCGCTATGGATCTGCCCACCGTCTGGTTCTACGACTGTGTGCGGTCGCGCGCGCGCGCTGACTGCGAGGCCGTGGCGCTCTTGCTCGAGACCTTCAGTGCCGAGTACGGTCCGCACGTGGAGGTGGGTCAGAGCGTAGAGCTGTTCCAGGACGGTCATCGTGCCCGCCCTTTCTTTCTCCGCTACCTTTAAGTCGGGCCTGTCCCTCTACAGGGGAAATCTTCAAAAATAGTCAAAAAATAGTCGGGGGGACTATGTTTTGAGTATTGTTTGACCATCTTTTGATTATTTTTGGAGTATTTTTCATTCTTCGCCCAAAATCCCTCTGCAGGGGGACGTGCCCGACTTGACGCTGCCTCGGGCTGTCGTCCTGTCATGCTGCCCCTGGCCGAGAGGACGCCTCTCCAGGGCCGTTGCCGGGGCTCCCCGTGCCGTTGCCGCTGGCCTCTCCTGCAACCTCGGTCTGCCTGGCCGGGCAGGCCGTCTGGGGTACTTCATGCATGGGTATCCCTCCCTCTCTCGAGCTCGCAGGGCGCACGGCCACGCACACGAGCACCCCTGCGCTCATACACAGGCGCGCGCACGCTTACGCACACAGACGTGCATGCCTTCGTATACCCACTCGCGCGCACATAAACACACACACACACACTCGATTACACTTGCATGCCTACTGATGTGCACACACGAGGAACCACTCATCATACACACCTTGCTATCTGCACCCTATTGCGCGGCTCCTCGGGTACGAAGTCCTTTCCAGGTCGATCGGTATTTACCGAGAGCATGCAGTGATGACTTCAGCTGCGGACGCGCCTCAACAGCAACCATCTTACTGAGCGAAGAGCAAACATACGCACAGGCACACGCGTACGCACATGCGCACGCCAACTCTCACGTTCACGCATGCGCACACTGTTTTCTCCGCGCGCACTGTGGCATCACAGTCGCGATTGTACATGCACGGGGAGCGAGCACCTCAACTGCATTCTGGTCGAGGATGGAGCAGCAGAGCTCCGTGGAGCACGGCGTGCGGAAGGGAGGGACCCCCAGCGAGCAGCGGGCATGCAGCGCGAGGAGGACGCGTGACCCACGGAGGGTAAAAGCGTCCAGTGCCTGTGCGGCGTGCGGAAGGGAGGCAAAAGCGCCCAGTGCCTGTGGCAAGGGGGCGCACGCACCCGAGGCGGCGGCGGCTGCGCGCGCCAGCGACGGTGAATAGGAGGCTGCGAGGAGGCAGGGAGGCGGCGGTGCAGAGGAGGCGCGGTGCAAGGAGGCGGCGGTGCCGAGGAGGCGGCGGCGCAGGGAGGCGGCGGTGCGGAGGAGGCAAGGGGCGACGGTGCGACGGTGCAGGTGAGGCGGCGCGCGGGGGCAAGCAGGCGACAGGAGGGCGCGGAGCGCTCAGGAGCTGCAGGCCTGGAGGGTGCGCACTGGCCAGCCTGCCAGTGGCACGCAGGCCAGTCACAGGGGACGGGTGCCGAGCCAACGAGAAGCAGGTGCCTCATTCGCACCCGCACGCGCCCGCGCGCATGCGCACGCCCTTTTTCCCACCCGCGCTGAGCAGCGCGATAGCATCAAACGCACATATACACACACGCACCACCCACATGCACCCGTTTCCGCGCTTCACGACGCCAAGCTTCCACCCTTGCGCTCTTCCACACTGGCATACAGACGCACACACACAAACGCACACAGCACACGCACAACCACACACAACACACAGCACACACACATCACACACACGCAACACACACACAACCCACAACACACACCACAAACACGACACACAACACACACCACACACAACACACACACAACAGACAACACACAACACGCACAACCCACACACAACACACACACACACCACACACAGCATACAACACACCACACACAACACACACAACACACAACACGCACAACCCACACACAACACACACACACACCACACAACACACACACAACACACAACACACACAGCACACAACACACAACACACACCACACACACGCGCGCTTCCACGCGCGCGCGCGAACTCTTGCAGAATAAAGAGCGCGTGTCAAGCCCGCACGATGCGGGAAGCCATGCAACGATACACATGGACACCCACTACGTGCGAAACACATCCGCGCACACACGCTCGCATACACACAGGTGCACATGTAGTAGGCAGACTTGGACATGCTCGCGCGCACACATCGATACGAACACATACGCCGACACTTTTCCTACTTCGTGGCGATGCAGCGTCGGCGGGTCAATGAGCGACGGGTTGCGCCAACTCAAATTGCAGTCGCCCGCGTGTCGGTCGCGCCCAAGGCGGAGCCCCGTCCTCTCGTGGCAGGAGGAGGCCGAGAAGAGCCGTTGATACATACGCGCGCAAAGGAACACACACACACACACCAACGCACACGCACAACACACAGCGCACAACACACAAACACACCACAGCACGCAACACACGACACACAACACACAGCACACACAACACACACAACACACACCGCACTCAACATACAATACACAGCACACAGCACACGCCACACAACACACAGCACACACACAACACACAACACACACCACGCAACACATATCACACAGCACACGGCACATCACACACAACACACACGCACATGCCTTCGCTTGCGCACGCGCACGCGCACTTGCACGTGCACGCACGGGCAGACTCACACGCGCGCACACATTATAGATTGGGGGAGTATTTTAACTAACGCCACACCAGAGCCCAAACAACAACGAAAGACAAATGGCTGTTGCACATGCTAATTCTTGGGATCACGAGGTGTTCACGCAAAAAGTTGGATCCAGACGGCCGACACATGAGATCCACGTGGCTCTCGCACACAAGTGCCGATATCCACATTGATCCATGCTTGGTTACGCACGATGAAACAGCCTTCGGCCTTGGGATGTATCTGCTGCCAGCTATGCTATGTGCTGAAAGCTATGTGGTGTACGCTAGGCGGTGCAAGCCCACATCGCCTTGCCCTCACTAACATGTCACCGGCTGCAATCCGGCGTTGGCCCGTAGACCGGCGTTAGGAGACACTTCTCCCGAGCTTGTGGTATGTGACCGCAGTTGCAATCTCCACCGCGTTTTTTCACTCCCATGGCCAAGCATCTATAGAGTCACGCAGTGACGTCGAGATACGTACACATTGTCACATGTGCTCACGTATGCGCATACGACGCATCTATTACGCCCACATTTTATCATCAGCACGCGCTCCCTGTTACGCACTTAGTCAGTACTGCATGTCGCTCTTGAGCGTTTGGGCATACACGCGCACACGCGCCACACACTGACAGTCACACACCCACATCTACACATGTGCATGCATATTCATTTGCACATTGGCCCGCTTACGCGCTCACATCGCTGTTGTTTTGTTTCGGTTTACACTGGGTTTTTCAGCACTATTACGCTCATGCACGCAGGCACTCCCGCACATGCGTGTACACTTGCACTTGCGCCTGCACTTGCTTTTGCACGTGCGCTTTCGTAGGCGCTTCTTCGTGCACCTGCAGGTCCAACTCCCCTTATACATTGCGGCTGATCTCGCAGTTATATAGGTATTCACTTCGACGCAAGCTGACGCTTGCCCTGGCACTTACTCTGCTCTTTGCAAGTGCACCCTCCGGATACACCTAAACTTGCACGTGCATAGGATTTTGCACGTGTATTTCGGCTTCCACCTAAACTTTACATTAGTGCTTACACCGCGCCTTGCACATGCACTTGCCCGGGCACGGATACGTACAGTAGCACGGGCTGGCAACCTTCCCTCATCCAACGCCACTTCCCATTGAATTTTAATTTCCGCCGTCTCGCTGCACTTTCAGAGTCTTTTCCAGTAGGACTTGCAATAATAAGTGCACATGCGCGTACCCGCGCGCACAGGGACGCGTACACAAGCACACGCACGCGGCCGCACATACACGGATTCATGCCTTCACTGTTGTTCACGTGTCTGAAACTGCTTCCCCTCTGTTTCCCCCACCACCCTTGTTCATCTCTCTTTTTTCCCTCTCTTTGTATATATACACATAATACGGTACACTTCCTTGCCAGTATTGACCAGATTGTTTTCTGTCGTATTTGTTGTGTTTGACATCCAGGCTGGGGGCAGCAATCTCGCGTGTCTAGTCATTGTGTGTGTGTGTGTACGTGCTTGTGCGTGTCGACCCCATTTGTCGCTCTCGGCTGCGCTGGCACTTTTTTCATCCTGTCCCCCCCCCCGCTGCCCAAGCCCGGGCATGCGGATGGCGCGGTTGATCCACTGCTGGATTCCTGCCCCATCTTCCGAGGGGCCCGCCGCGCGCGCAGTCGGCTCTCTGTCGGGTTGACTTTCTACGCCTCGTCGCCGCGCGCGTGCGCGCGAGGCCGCGGAGCCAAGAAGGAGCGTGTGCTGTGCGTGTGCTGTTGGTGATGGCGCACCCTGTGTGCGCGCAGCTCCCTAAGGTCTCGCCCATCCAAGAGGAAACTTTGGCCCCCGATCCGGCAGACGGCCAGTTAGGATGGTTCTTATCGTTGTTGGCGTGTTGGTCCCGTTCAATGTGCCACGCGGGTGAAAGCGCATCGTCAGTGATTGCGCGGGATGTCTCAGGCCGTCCCCGAACAGTTGTTCTTTGAATCTTGCGCGCTAGATCCTGACTCGTCCCTGGTAGGCCAGATACACGGCTATTTATCAGGATATCTTGCACGACGAGATGAGCTTGGGACGCGTCGGACGGGTGTGCTCGTTGATGCCTTCGGTTGGTGTAGTTATGTTGTCTGCGTAGCAGGGCCCAAGTTGACAAAACAGCTCCTCGTTGTTCGCCATCGTGGGTGGCCACAGAATGCAGTTGTGGCAGTTCAAGCCTCTTTTGCAACGTTGTTCTTTGTGTTGTTTACCGGTGTGCAAAACCATGCATCTACCAATATGTTTGCCCTCTTGCTGTCCCTGCCGCGCTCCTGTTCAATCTCAATCGATAGTTCAGACAGCAGGCGCATCTTAAGAGAGAGTGGCCCGCCAGCGAGGGCCCCACTCAAAATGTGCATTCCTCGACGGCCCCAGGGAGCCTCTAGAGTTCGGGGGCGCCTCACCAGTTTCCCATATGGACGAACAGCGTGCCACTAGTCTTATTACAGC